ATAAATATATTAAAAATTTTTTGATTAGTAATATGCATTGCTAAGGACTTGATTTGGACAACTTTAAAGGCGATTTTCTCAGTATTTTTATTTTTTTTGCACCCTCAGATTGTCACGTTTCGGTTGTATTTGGTTTGGTTTCTCTGCGTTCCAGTTCGCCTGTGTTCCCTTGTTGGTTTCCATGGTTTTTTCGATTAATTAGCTCCACCCCTGTTTCAGTTCTCCCTAATTACATTTCCAGTTCTTAAGTCCTGTGTTCTGCCCTGGTCCTTGGTCTGCTATTGGTTTTGTCTGCGGGTTGTGCTACCCCTTGCTCCTGGATTCCTTCTGTTTCTTGTGTGGATATATCATTAAAGGACTGTTTCTGGATTATTCCTGCGTCGTGCGCTTTTACTAGCACAAAACCGTTACACAGATTCCAGATTTTCAAATAGTTTTATCTCGGCCAAATGTTGTCCTAACAAACCATACATCAATGGAAAGCTTATTATTCAGCTTTCAGATGATGTATAAATCTCAATTTCAAAAAATTGACCCTTATGACTGGTTTTGTGGTCCAGGGTCACAAATATGCAACAATTTATGGTTTATTTAGTTCAACCCCTGTACGTTTAGCCTGTATGCCGTAGCTATAGCATGACTTCATACTAATCTGAACAGAGCCAGAGATGCTCTGTTTTAGATGCTACAGTGTCACCGGTCACATTGCTGTTTGAATAGCATCCAGCACTAATAGGCATATAACTAATAGGCACGCTTAAAAATAAAGGTGCTTCACGATGCCATAGAAGAACCTTTCTTTTGGTCTAAATGGTTCCATAAATAACCTTTAACATATGAAGAACCTTTCTGTTTCACAAAAGGTTCTTCAGAATATAAAAATGTAAGAAAGAGATAGTTCTTTAAAGAAACTTTGACTGAATGGTTCTTTGTGGAACCAAAAACGGTTCTTCTATGGCATCGCTGTGAAGAACCTTTTAAGCACCTTTATTTTTAAGAGTGCAGAACACTGAGTCCTTGCCCTGATCTGCCAGAAACAAACTGACAATGGGATAAAAAGTCACAAGTTCATGCTGAATATTGAGGAGATGAATAACAGCCGTGAGTGTGGCGTTTTGGACACAGCTGCGGGTCACTGATGATATTATGATATTCCGCTGCTCACAAGTGTAACTGCGCTTTCTTTAACTCAATATCTCAGAACATTTAATAGGATATTTCGTCAATACTGATGCACAGTTATACAGTGTCCTTTAACAAAAGGGAGGTTCGATGCTCGTCTTCATTGTTTCCATATGAGGGTGTTTTATTGCTGTGCACTAAATCTCTAAATCTAAATCCACACCTCTGAGTTTGGGCCTAAACACCTGTTCAAGGAGATTGAGCTGGATTACTGTAATCTTTATTGATTGTGTCCGCGTCACGTTGACCAGGGATTTTCCTGCTCAAACTCCAGCAAGTGAAAGACAAGTGCAGCAGAGAGCGTGGTAAAGGAGCCACTACATGTGTTAAAGGGGTCATATGATGTTGCTAAAAAGAACATTATTTTGTGTATTTGGTGTAATGCAATGTGTTTATGCGGTTTAAGGTTAAAAAAACACATTATTTTCCACATAATGTACATTATTGTTGCTCCTCTATGCCCCGCCTTTCTGAAACGCGTC